CCTCAGTCTCTGAGTTCTTCCCTCTGTTTCCTGTCGCTTCCAGAGATTCATCTTCTTCATAAAGTAAATGTCAAGTCTTTTTCTGGGCGAAGGAAGCAATCTCGGACTCTGAATACTTCTTACGTAGAATTTACACCAAGGATGCTATTTATCGCTCTACATTATCCCCTGCTTTTTGGAAGCCCACTACCCCAGTTTCTAAGCCTTTCTGGCATTCTGAGGGGACAAATCGGTTTTCTTCTGATAAGCTTTCTTAGGAGAATTGCCTTGAATTTCAGCTTCTTGGATTTGCTCTTTGTCACTACACTAAGCCATCTACTTTTCTGCAAGTTTGCTGGGGCCATTTCCAATCCCATTATTTTTGTCTACCAACTTCAACTTCTGTTAGTACTCTTTGGACTTGATTAGATTATCCCAAGAGTCTATATGAAAAGTCCTATAACACTGGGCAAAATAGCCACTCATTGACACACACCTGTAAGAGTGACTACTAATTTCCAGTGAATCAATTCCAACTCATGGTGATCCCATCTGTGTCAAAGTTGAACTGTGCTCAATATGGCTTTAAAGCTTCCAAATGTTTCTTCTGAGTGGAGGATTCTCCACGTTTTGGGTTATCAGCCAGCACATGAATGATTTGCACGATCCAGGGAGTCTCTTACAAGTAATGGGTGAATGAAAATGCCTGGTAGGCAGTTACCACCACTATCTAAATCTCCATTTCCTTTCAGGTTTTCTTCTCCATTCACCCGTTGTTGTTGTTAGGCACCAGCGAGTGAGTACCTTACACGTAGCAATCCTGTGCACAACAGAATGAAACACTGCCCGGTCCTGCGCCATCCTCACAATTACTTCTATGCCGGAGCCTGTTGGTGCCACCACTGTGTCCATCTGTCTTGCTGTGGGCTTGTCTCTTTGTCTGCTGCCCCTCTACCGTATCAGGAATAATGTCCTTTCCCGACAACATGTCCGAAGTATGTAAGACGAAGTCTCACCATCCTTCTTCTTCCACAGAAGACTTCCGTAGTTTCCAGCATTACAGCAATGTACAAGCTACCATAAGTTCATGAACTTAAGGATTCTTTATCACCTTAAAATTATTCCCACTTTCTACTTATGATTTACTTTTTTCTCTTTGACTATTTTCCCCTCTTGATTCTATCCACTGCTACTTATAATTCTTGTTCTATATATTGCCTCTCTTTGGCTAGGGCCATTGACGATGGCTCTATCTGTTCTTCCTACCAATCCTCAACCACAGACCCTCACTCTAGTCTGTTTATCTGGACTGTATCCCAATGGCCTACTCAGATGTGAGGACATGCCAGGATGTCACTGGCAAGGAATTGTGAAAGTTTAGAAAATAAAAGACTTCAGAGATCATCTGAAGTAGCATTTCTCCAAAGGAATTCCATGGAATGCTCCTTTCTGCCTTAGAAGAAAAGTAAGCATTGAGAAGGGGTTCTATCCCTATGCAAGTTTGAGAAAGATCAGCAACGTAAAAGCTAATGCTTTTACACTGCGGGGCTTCTTACTACCTTTAATATCTTAATGTGCTTCCTAGGTTTCTAAGACTAAAAGCTAAAATATAGTTTTAATTCATTTATCCTTGTTTCAAAGCCAAAGCCCCACTAATCTTTGGACAATTTCCTTTGTCAAATAACTCATTCATATTTGTTGTCTCCTTATTTAAAAAAAAGACAACTGAGTTCATATGGTAGTATATAAGTTAACGAGATCATTATTCACTATAAGATGACCAAATATGGGAGGAAGACATGCCAAATTATTTTGTTGAAGTGTTTGACGGGATTGCATAAGCATGTAGGTGGAGAATAACTAGATAAAGCACACTCCTCCTCCACCTCACCTTTTTTTTCAGACAAGATTCCACTTGAAAGAAAAGTTAAAATTGAGTTAGGATGAAATAGAGGAGCATTTTAAGTAGTAGACAATATTTGTACAGGTAAGAATTTCTCTAAAGCAAGACTAAGTAGAAAAGTTTGTACCTCTGAATGTAAGAAAAATAATTGATGCTTTCACTCAACATTTTAATACATGACTTTGATGAGAAAGATTGGAGAAATTGTCATGAGTATGGATGACAATAAACTCATTCAATAGTGTTTGTCTTTCAGAAATAGCCTTGGACACATCTTGTGAGAACATAAATAAAAGTACATAAATGAATTTTAGTTAAGATAATGGTCGAGGTGACACATTTTATGATCAGTACTGCCATGTGAGTTTCAAGGACAGTAACCTTTTAGGGGAGTAGAAAGTTCTTTCTCATTGCTGAGCAGTGGGTGGTTTAGAACTTCTTACTTTGCAGTTAGCAGCCCAACTTATAACCATATAGGGTTTGTATTGTGATTTGCCGTGTTTGGGGTGTACACTTCCAAATTTAGGGCATTTGGAGTCACATTCTCAGAGCAGAAAAGCTCTTTGAAACTTGCAGCATCTCAAATGCTACACATTTCTTAATTTTCATCTTTTGGGATATAGCTTTGATTGGAGAAATTATAATAATAGTAGTTCACACATGCATGACCTCTTTTACAAGCATCTAGAATAATTGGATATATTTTATCTCATTTGGTGTGTTGTAAATGATATTAACATAACATTTCTTTCCATTGAGAACCCTGGTGGTGTCGTGGTTATGCACTGGGACATGATCTGCATGGGTGGCTATTTAAAACCACCAGCAGCTCCTTGGGAGAAAGACTGGCTTTTCTATGCCTGTAAATAGTTAAAGTTTTGGAAATCCACAGCGGGCTGCTATGAGTCAGCACTGATTTGATGGCAGTGAGTCTGGAGTTACGTTGATTATTTCTATTATATGCACACATATAAAACCCCATTGCTATCGAATCAATTCCATCTCATAGCAACCTTCACTGGGGTTTCTGAGACTTTAAATCTTCATGAGTGCAGCCAACCTCACTTTTCTTCCACTGAGCCACTGATGGGTTTGAACTGCCAAATGTGAGGTTAGCAGTCCAACACTTACCCAACAGAGTCACCAGGGCTCTTTCACACACGCCCACTCACGTATTTTTTTTCTCCCTTTCTTTCAGGTCTGCCCAAAGCAGCTGTGATCACCCAGATGCAGGCGATCAAGGGCTCTGCTGGATTGTGGGCTTTTGGTTGTACTGCTGATGACATCATTTATATAACGCTTCCTCTGTATCACAGTGCAGGATCTCTCCTGGGCATTGGTGGATGTATTGAATTAGGTAAGTTTTCATTTTCTGTATGATAAATTTTCAAAATGTCAAAAAATTGCACCTTGTGTTCTCTTAAAATTTGACACTCTCCAAATAGAATTCACAGTGATCATATGCATAATAGATCCTTGTAACATACTATTTATTAAAAGGAGACCATTTCCTGGCATAGTCAGTGTACTCCTGGAGGGGAAAGAGCAATTCCCTGGGATGTGAGCAATGCAGCTTATTATGTATAGTCTATGTCTTACATGTGGATTTTTTTCATTTTCCTAACCCTGTTAATTTTTTAAGCATAATTTTACCTAATTTTCTTAATTAATTCTTATTTTTGTACTTCAGGAAGTACAGTTGCTTAGGAGAATAAAATTCCTAATGTGTGGCATCCATATGTATGCAGAATAATGTGTGCAACTTTATCCCCCAAACTCATAAAACAAATGAACTCCATCAGGCTATAGCTCGTACCACCCTTCACTGACAGTGCAGCTCAGTGACAGGATTTCTCCAGTGATGCAGAAAACACTAAAAGAGATTTCTGATGATTCAGTTTATTCCAAGGCCGAGCTTTGGGGCACTTGTAAGAATATATTATTTCATTCCTTTTATACAATCCTCCAGAAAAGCTAGGTGACCTCAGTAGGACGACTCAAGGTGATGTTCTCTGACAAGGGCATGACAAACAGTATCATTTGCTGTCCATTTTAGGTCACAATAGGCTACTGATAGGATCTTTATTTCTCAGAAACTTTCCTTAATATAGATCATTAGTAAGTAGAACATCTGGCACATAAGATCTTCAGAATTATTTCTTGACTTAGTTGGCATTATGGATTAAATTGTGATCCCCACCACCACCACCCCTGACAAATATGTCTTCAAATTCTAACTCCTGTATCTTTAGAAATTAGCTTGTTTGCACATACGGTTTACTTTTTAGGCTAATAAGATCATATCCACCCAGAACAAAAAAATCATATTAATGTGAATGAAGGGGAGTACAGAGTGAAGACCCAAAGCCCATCTGTAGACAATTGGACATCCTCTTAGAGATGGGTCACAAGGAAGAGATGAGCCTGTCAGGGTGCAGTATAGCACTGATGAAACATACAACTTTCCTCTAGTTCTTTAATGCTTCCTCCCCCCATCACTATAATGACCTCAATTCTGCCTTACAAATCCAGCTAGACCAGACCATGCACACAGGTACAGATAAGAGCTAGAAACACAGGGAATCCAGCACAGATTAAACCCCCCAGGACCAATAATGAAAGTAGCAATACCAGGAGGGGAAGGGGAAGGTAGGGGTGGTAAGGGGGAACCAATCACAATGTTCTACATATAACCTCCTCCCAGGAGGAGGGACAACAGAAAATTAGGTGAAAGGACACATTGGTCAGTGCAAGATACGGGAAAAAAAATTATCAAGGCTTCTTGAGGGAGGGAAAAAATGAGCTGATACCAAGGGCTCATGTAGAAAGAAAATATTTTGAAAACAATGATGACAACATATGTACAAATGTGCTTGACGCATGGATGGATGTATGGATTGTGGTAAGAGCTATATGAGCACCCAACAAAACGATTTTTTTTTTAAAGAAGAAAAAGAAAATAAATTTCTGTTTGTTAAAGCCAGGGGGAAAAAAGATTATACCCAAGTACTATGGATTCTAAATCTAATCACATCTGAGATGAAGAGAACATATTAAACAGAGAGATATAGCATGTGAATATAATTAAAGATCCAAGGAATCCTCCTGGCTCTTGATAGGAAAGCATCCCAAACTGTGGTAGATTTTTCTTCTATAAAGTCACTCACTGGCAATATTTTATGTTATGCCTATAGTAGGTAACTACGAGAGTAAGGGAATCCTTAAGTTTTGTTGCTTTGGTTTTTAACGGAAATTAAAAACTTAACCAATCCATTGGCATCAATAGATGGTCTTCCATTGCCATACTAAAGTTGACCAGGAAGGTAATATGAGCCAAGTGACTTTATCATGTCAAAGACCATAGCTGGTGCATGACCATCAATTCCATGTCTCGTTTCCTCACTGCCTTCATGAGGTGAAGATTAGCTATTGCCTGGATGTCTGTATAGAGGGTGTCAATACTCAGCTTCAAAGACATACTCATTGTTGAGCAACATACTTTGTGTTGGATAGATGTCCAAGGATATATTCATTGATAACTGTATGCTTTCAAAGTAAATAAATCAAGCTCTATAACATGGACATAATTCATTTTGAATCTTTGTCAGAAAGAATTGTTTTCATGTTAGAAATTCAGATAATAGTAAACTTTATGGGTTTTCTTGTCTTTGTTTGCTCGAAAATAAACTGCAGGATAAGTTTTCTATTGCACCATTTTTATTTCCCAGAAGTGAAGAAAAAGAGAGAGAATATAGTCACCCTTTAGAAGTACACATCTCCAATTCTCTTTTTCAGTGTGGAATGCCCCCAATTCTATTGAAGATATTGAAAGCAATAAGAAACTTAGTATTCTTACAAACTCCTCCAGAAGGTGATAGTGTGGGGACTGGAAATGCCCTGCTAGATATTGATTACAGCAAATTGACATAAGCCATTTGTACAGCAACCTGGATTTATTGCTCACCATGGAGAATAGTAGCCAAACATTACAGGAAGTATTTGGGGAAAAAATTGGGTCTACTATTCTAAAGGATATTTAGTTATCTTTTCTGAATATAGACACTACTATAGAGTGGACCGAAATGACAAAATGCTAATTGTGAGGTGACATTTATATGTTCTGTCATATAAATGACATCTAGATGTAGTAAAAATAATATTTCATCTAACTGAGTCAACATTTCATATATTGAAACATTTCAAAGGG